AGGAATGATTGGAAAAGCAAACCAAATGACGTCATGGATAATTAAGAATGTGGTGTCTAGGAAACCAGAAGTGCTAAAACCATTTTACAAAGCTTTTGTTAGACCCCATCTGGAATACGATGTTCTTCTGGTTTTGCGTGTAGTAACTTTGCAAAGAAAAATAAGAGACTGCTCGCAGTCTATATCTTGTTTTAATAATTAATTTTGTCGTTCTCTGCTTTTAGTATCTTTCTGCTTTTAGTATTCTTATAATAATACATTTTTTATTTTTATCACATCTTCATAATAATTTTGTAAATTGATTTTTATAATAGAGATATCATGAAGTGATATAATAAAGTTATCTTATCTAGAAACGCACGTTCTTAACTAACCAGATTCCCTTATTGCAGCACCCCGGGTAAGTTTAGGGTTGTCGTTCGTCCATTGGGGTGAAAATAGTCCGGGTTGTGAAGTCAAGTATTGGAATAAAGCAATTAAAAGTCAGAGTTGTCCTAGTTCGGAATTCTTCGTGGCATATCCCCTTACAAACAGTCTAGGACCCCATGCCGTGGAAGGGGTTAGGGGTTTGTAGGGGCAGTAAGGGTTAGGGTATTGGGTGTTTACCCCCCGGTTTAACCAGGATGTTGTAGTTCTATGGTATAGCCCCGGGGTAAAGCCTACTTCAATTGAGGCGCCTGTCCCGGGTTTGGGGGGAGGGGCAGTCGATGGATGGTATGAGTTTTGATTTAGATTGGGAAGGAAGAATCTTAATGGGTCGGTTGACTCCCTTGGGGTTGACTATTCCCAGCCCATGCATCCCGGACATGCATCTTATGACATTATGATAATAGGACAAGGACATGTCATTTTTCCTGTAGAGAAATTATGGACCCAAGAAGGTACTTCCTTAAACCTATGAGGCGCCAAGTGTTCAAATAGTGATTTCGTTACGAAATCAATACGAACAATTGATTTCGTAACAAAATCAATCGTTTGTATTGATTTCGTAACAAAATCAGTGAACGTAAGTGATTCCGTGACGAAATCAAATTCAGATTATGATTTTGTAACAAAATCCAAATTAAACTATTGATTTGGTAACAAAATGAATGTGCACTTGTGATTTCGTGACGAAATCAAATCGAATTTTTGATTTCGTAGCAAAATGAATAATAACAACTTATTCTGTGTAATTTTGTAACGGAATCACTGTAATCATTGATTTTGTCACGAAATCGCCTCAAATGAATGATTTCATCACAAAATCACTTGTAAACATTGATTTTGTTACGAAATCACTCGTGGACATTGATTTCGTTACGAAATCAAATTTTGCCGACTGATTTCGTAATCGAATTATTATCGATACTGTATTTCGATATTTTTTTCACTCGAAGTGTTTTCACTCGGAAGTTAGTACCACATGTACATACACTCGCTTGCATTCTCGATTGTAGTCCAGCAGTGATAGCAGCATAAAACTAGGAGTCTACAGCATGCAACTACTGTATCAACAAATTACAGTTTTGGTATTTATTTTTATTAAATCAATTAAAAACTTACCATAGATTATATATGATTTATTGGACAAAACGAACAATTAATTGATGTTTTCCGTCGTTTTCCCTGTGCCGTAACTAGGGGGGGCAAGAGGGGGGGCGTGCCCCCGGGCGCACCCCCTAGGGCACCAAAAAAACAAAAAAAACAAAAAAAAGACAAAAAAAGGAGGAAAAGGGGAAAGAAGGCAAAGTGGAAAAGAAAACTATTAGAAAATGTGTGAACATCGCGCCCCCGAGCATCTGCCTTATATTTAGCAGGGGGGGGGGGATTCGAACAAGGTCGCCCCCCTCCCCAAAAAAAAATCATTAACAGTAATAAAAAAAAAGTGCCATGACATGTACTTTTTAGAGCCCTTGATTCTTTCTTTCGAGGTAGGGGTAAGAAAAGGGGTAATAAGTGGGGGCGACCGCCCCCAGCGCCTTAAAGGCGGGGGGGGGGGCGCCCCCCACCCCCTGACGCCCCTCACGGGGATGATATTTTTGACCATCCATACCCCCTATTTTGGCAAAAAAGAGGATAGTTTTTTCGCTCACTAAAACCCACAAAAATATACATTTTCGTGTATTTTCGTTTGTGCGCTCATACGTTTGTGTAATTTGTGTGCGCCCATGCTTTTTGTAAGCACCCCATGGTAAAAATTTGGCGCCCCCTGATTGGGGTCTTTGTCAAATTGGCATCATTTTGAAAAAAATAGGGTGCCCCCGCCACCGAAAAAATCCTGGTTACGCCACTGGAAGGTGGCTGAGGTGCCTCTCTCTGGCTTGGTATTTTGCTATCGTGATTTGGGGAAGCCTAGTGTTCCAATCATCCTGAGAACAGATTCAAAGTCATTTGCGAAACGAGGCTCGGCATCCCATGGAGTGTTCGCCACAATATTGTAATGAATAAGCACTATAAACAATAAAATGTATGTTTGTTGTCTCAGCGCCCTTTCCCTCCATTTTTTTTTTTTTTTTTG